CCCTGGCCCGGCCCGCGGCTGGCTGACGGGCGGTCTGTAGGGCAGCGCTGCGGGTGCCTCGAAACCCAAACGCGTTGTCTTAGCGTGCAGGGCTGCGCCACTCGTTTACATCTTTCGGAGTGTCTCCACTGTTACCTCTCCCTGTTTTCCACCTTGTCTTTTGTTGGACTCTGCTTCCTTTGTTTCTGTCATTTTTAATCTTTTTCTTTTAAACTCCGGGCTTTGCGTGTTTTACAGCCTGTTCTGTGGTGGGACTGCTTGTTGCTTCCTCAACACCTGGCAAACCCTGACAAGTTTTCTGTTTGTCTTGCCTATTCCAGCAATTACTTGCTTGTGACCCCCATCTTTTCATCCTGTAAAAAACAAAAAATTGACCCTGTCGTGGTATTTTTGCTAACCGGAGTTAAACCGCGACACTCTCTTCTTTGCTCCAATCATCTGTTTGCTTCTTTGTGCCATCGCATGTATTAAGAGTTTTAGGTGCAGACTCTTCTATCATATTTCTGGTTTATCTGCTTTCCATGTTTTGAAATCCAGCCTTGAGAAAGAAAAGTGACGTGAAAATGCAGAAATGCAAGAACTTAATTATGAATTCAAAAAGAAGCATAAGCCATTATCTAATTCTAAACATACAGGCAAGATGGTAAACTAATCAATATTTATTGCTTTTTTCTTTAGGCTTTCAAGCTCTTACTCTGCAACTTAGTCAATAGATGTACATCTAGGAAAGGTTTGCTGACAGAAATCTGTGGACTTCTGTCACTTGATAGCACTTGCTGTTGTAATTACGCCATAGGATTTCTTGTCAGAGACTTGTAAAAATTCCTTTTGCAACAATAGTGTATTTAGAAAAAAACCCAATCAAAAACCTCATCAATTTGAGCAGATTAAGTTATGCTAGTAACTTTTGTTTTAGTAGCAACAGAGAGCTTTTCCAGGTGTACACTATTCATAAGAAAAAAAACCTCATCCTTTAACCAACGGTACCAAGTGTAGACCAGACGTGTAATGCGAACATGCCATTAAAACGTTAGAGATCTCCTGCCTTGTTCCCACAAGACTTAAGATGTGTTAATGAGACAGTGCTTCTAGAGAAACATGGTAGTTAATGCTGCAGAGTGGAGCCTAGAGCTGTGGCTCTTGCACCACTGGGGCAATAGAATGGTGAACGCAGAGGATTTCTTGGGATCGGCCCCAAGAGTGTGTAAGAAAACCTCAGAACTGGACTGACTGCAGCATCTCGTCTCTTGCTCTTGTTTCCTTGTCCTTACCTTTTCTGTATGTCTTAACACTTGAAGGTACAGGATTGTTTCATGTGTCAGGTGGAGCAAACGTGCAACAGATGTTACTCATGCATTTTATTGCAACATGGGGAGTGTTTTCATAATGGAATTATGGTCAGAATATGACAATCTGTATAGAAAAAGATGGAATTGGTTGAAGGGACTGCCTTTAATTATGTTACTGTTAAAATAGTATAAAGCTAGTTAGTGTTGGAGGTGTTCATACATGTTGCTCTTGGAAAGTGTTTTAGTTTAGCTTATGTCATGTTAGCTTGACAGAAGAGTAAGTTGAGGTATATACATGGATGACAGCATTCATACCTTCTTTGGCATGTCCTCATTGTTCAAGTATAGCAGCTTCACAGCCTTAGGCCTTGTGCAAATTAATTTTTAAAAAGTTACTGAGCTTGGTAGTTGTGAGCCCTGGTCTCTTGAGTGGGAGTTTAATGAGAAGAGTAGTTTTCAAGAGCAGTTGCAAGAAAAAGCCTTGATCAGTTGTCCTTGTAAGTGTAGAGACTGTACGGGGAGTAAGTTGTGACTGTCACGTGCTTTCACAGTGGAAAATTTTATTAAAATAATACTTGAAGAAGAAACTAACTCAGGTAACCCTGCCACGTTCAGCAAATACTAGCTTGAATTAAAATGGCTTATTTTCATATGGACAGTGTTGACAAACTGAAAGGAAACTTATTAAAAGTTCCAGTTTACTTGTTTTCAGCCTATATGTTTTTGTATGGCCACATCACTATGGTAACAGAAGGCTTTCTAGTAGCACAATAGGAATAATGAAAAAATCACAAGTTTCAAAATTTGTTTTTCTCTTTTTCCTTTAGCATACAGCACAATGTGGTTGGTTGGTTTGTTTTTAATTTGATTTTTAATATATTCTTCCTGCAGTTATCTTTCCTAACATAAAGGACATGGTAGAAGAATCTCCTCAAGTCAGCAAGACTTCTTATGGCTTTAGATTCTGGAATGAATATACAGAAATTAAAAACTGACCTCTGGGAAAGTTGTCTTCTGCATAGACACCTTCAGTCCCTATGATAGAAAGTTCACCTGTAGGTCCTTTTCATCAGAAAGATTAATGCACAGAGCTACTTTATATGGATGTTGTGTTTTGTTTGGTTACAGTGTAAGACACAACCCTGATTTTGCTTTCACTGACAAAAATATGTAGTAGTCACTGCTCAGCTGTATGATGTGATGTTTGTTGTGTTGAGGTAGTTGAGGCTTGAATATGGAAAAAGACCCACTGATTTAAAGTGATATTCTCCATAAAACCAAGTGTATTGTGGGGTGTTTATTTCCTGAACTCACTTAAGTACTTCATGACAGGGAAATCTTAGAACCCTTTCCCTCTCTCTTGGGGGCTGACTGTATGAAGTGCAGTTTATTGATTGCCCCTGACAGTCCCAATAAAAGTCTCAAAATTAAACTGTAGTTTATGGCAGAAGTACTGGACAAATAGTGTAACATATTCTGGTTCAGTGGTTCAGTTGTAGTTGTTGATCCTGAAAAAGGTGTTCCAAAATATCAGGAGTGTTTAAAAAAAAAAAAAAAATTTGCTATCCACAAATTGTTTAGGAGTATCTTTTCTGAATGAATCCTTTGTCAGTAGTTGTTTCAGAAGAATGTATGTGCTTTATTTTATCTTGCCTTGTTCCCATTTCAGCAGTTGAAGTGTAATTTTATCTGCGTTAAATTTAGAATAATGTAGGTGTTTCTTGATGACAAAATGAGCCCTGATGGTCCGACCCATTAAAATGCACTCAGTAAGAATGTGAAATAAACCTAGCCTTAAAAGAAAGGTACAAAGATCTACACTTTGAAAGTCTGCAAAGATATTGTTTGAAAAAGTTTAAAGAACAATAGAAGTATTACATCCTTGCAACTCCCTTTCTAGTTATCTTTCTGAATGACTGTGTAAAGTCATAGAGTTTGCATAAATGCCTGCATAAAGCTGATCTTTGGGTTGGTATGTAAAGAAATTCTACAAGTAGTTGATAGTGTTTTAATGTTGGAATGGTGGTGACATGCAGTACTGCACTGGGATATTGGTGCCGCGTGACAGCGCTGTGTGACAGAATGGTTTGGGTTGGAAGGCGCCTTAAAGACCATTTAGTCCCAACCCCCCTGCCATGGGCAGGGACATCCTCCACTAGACCAGGTTGCTCAAAGCCTCGTCCAGCCTGGCCTTGAACACTCCCAGGGATGGGGCCTCCACAGCTTCTCTGGGCAACCTGTTCCAGTGCCTCACTGTGAAGAGTTTTTGGTGAATAACATCGTTGTGTCTTAGCAGATAATGAACATGTTAGCCAAGCTGTTAAATGGCTGGTACGATACCGTTCTAATAGTTACAGACAGTTTCCTTCCAGATAGCTTTCTCTACAAAAGGGCACAAAAATATTAATAAAAATGCTATGTAAAATAGCAGTTTCTTTATGGATATGATTTTGAAGGAATTTTTTTCCTATAGGCTTCCTTATGTAAATTAAAAACAAAAAAGTCCTTGAAAAGTATAAACACATTACAGTGGTATTCTCAAGTCAGTTGTGGATTTGGCTAATTTACTTTAAACAAAAGATTGATTAGGTGTGGGTAAATCCATGGGAAAACTTGCACTGATTTAGTGGACCAGATTTCTCAGCCTGCTACTGGATGGGTGTTAGCTGGGAAGGCTGTTAGCTTTTCAGTGTGTTGACTTATGTTGTTAATTCCTAGTACAGATTACACTTATGATTGCTTGCTTTCATATTTTTTATGCAGGACATACTGCTGATATGAATATATTTTTGGATGATCCAGAATTTGCAGAAATCATTCTGAGAGCAGAACAAGCTATAGAGTGTGGAGTTTTTCCAGAAAGAATCTCTCAAGGATCCAGTGGGAGTTATTTCGCCAAGGATCCAAAAGGGGTGAGCATGTTACTGCAAAGTCTGAGACGCTATCAGTGATGAGTCTAAATTGGAAATTCATTTAAATAAGTTGTTTAATAATTTATCTTATGCCAAAATCTACGTTGGAAAAATCAGTGCAAGGAATGTTTAGATTTCTCTTTATGTCTTGCAGCATAAGCTAAGCCAAAATAACTACCATTTCTGTGTTGCACTTTTACTAGGTTTTGAATGATCTGCACAAAAGAAGTATAGAGAAAATAAAAGGGCCACTTTGGTATCTGAAAGCAATTCAGTTAATTTTGTTCTTTGTACTTTTTAATTGATTTTTGACACTGAACTTCTGATTTGGGTACTGTTTTGGTTTCTTTAGTCAGCTTCCTGGTTTTTCTATCTCCTCTTTATGGAGAGTCTTTTATTTGGGTCATATCTCCTTCCTGTATGTTTGGTAGATGGGTAAGAAGAGTGATACAAGCAAATCTACCTTTTTACTTGTTCTTCTCTGCTGAATCTTAACTTGAAGATTTATTTTCCCTTCCCTTCGTGATAAATGGTACCTTGAATAGTGATCAAAGAGGTATCCCAAGGTTACTTGTTACAGTCACCTGAATATCTTGCTTGAAAAGCAACATTTAGTAAGCATTATCTAGTAAGAGAAAGTTATGTTTCAGACATACTTTCGCGTTGTTTTCTTTAAATCAGAAATACTTTGTCTGCTTACTGACCTCTTCCAAAAAAGAAGACTCCCAGCTCCCACACCTTTGTTAATTTGTCATATCTGATTTTGTTTTAAGCTCCATCAGCACTCTTCTAGTTTTCGTTAGGTGTATTTCTAAGGTGGAAAGTGGGAGAACTACCCCTTCGAAGTCGTCTAATAGCTGCATGTTGCAGTTCATACTCCTGAGTTCCAGGAACATTTGTTAGCAGTGAGCTCCTCCTTTCTGGTGGAGGAGAGCCACAGCGGATTGTGAAGGAGGGTCTCTGGTTTTGAAACCGGAAGGATAAAAAAGAATCTCTCGTTGCTTCGTGGGATTCTTGCTGTCTCATACAAAGCTGTTGTATGAAAACCTGTTCAAAGTTTCAGCAGACTTTTTAAACTTCAGGTCACTTCTCTCCTTCAACAGTTCATTGTAGGTTTGCAGGTTGTATGCTTATATCTGCATATTCAAACTTTACACTGGTTTTGAAGTGGGATTTTAAATTAGGATTATATCGTAATATGCAATAGGAAAAAAATCTGAGTAACCAAGTACTGTTTTAAATCAATACTTTAAAAAAAAAAAAATCAATGCATGGTGTTACTAAAGAGTATTCTACAGTGTTATGTTAAAAATGTTTTCAAACTGGTCAAGCAGGTTTTTTTTTTGAGTTTTTCTTAATGCTGTGCAATTGAGATCTTTTATTCTTAGAAAGCTACTTAGTAGAGAAATTACTAGGAAAAAATCATACTTGTTCTATATTTCCATATGTGGAAATCTGTTTTGTCTGAAGCCTCTCCAGATTGATTTTGCAGTGTTCTGGTGACTAGCAAATGGCTGAGACTCGCTGTGCCCTGGGGCTCATGAGAGAGTACCTACACGTAATTTTTGTAGCCATAGTATTTTGGATTGGGTGCCTTATTTCCTTGTTTCTTACGTGTTAATTTTCTTGTTGCTTTTATTTCTGTTTTGCAGTGAAGTGTTAGTTTTGTTCCTAGTAGTGACTTGCCCTCCCCCTTTGTGCAGGTCTTTGATTTGAATGTAAGTATTTAGGGCAAAGGAAGATTAAAAAACTAATTTTTTTTAATATATGGGCCAGAAAAATTTAATTGCAAAATACGGAAGTGTTTGCTGGTGCGGGACTGTGAGAATAGTGATACTGAGTTCCTAGCTGACTTTCAGTTTTGCGTTTATTCTTTGCATTAAATTTAGAGCTTATCTTCATTTGTTATCCATATGAAAGATCTGATAAAACTTTATTTTGTCAATAGTGCAACTCTCATTTGTATAATGGATTTCACATCCTGTTTGACTGAGTATTGCATCATTCTGCTTCAGACCAGTTTTGTGACTTGCTTTCTCCTATTCTTCTTGAGTAACCTCTTCTTCCTTATGCTGGGAAAGAGCTTACTAAAGACATGCTAAGCTTTCTTACTGGTCAGCGTCTGAAGTGTTTGCCCACACTAATACCAAGGTACAGGTAAAATAACCTGATCGCTTACATCTTCTGATTCATTGATTCTGGTCTATCAGAAAGATACAGCTACAATTGCTTAATTAAAATTACTGACTTTTTGCATGTATTGGCGTAGTTGTATACTGATATGAAGTGGTTCAGTACTTAAGTGTGCTGAATGTTTCTGCATTTGTTGTCCATTGTGTAACCAATAAAGTAAATGACATTGCGCCTGTTATTAGCTGTTCTGCAACGTGTTTTTGACAGGACAGCTATTGGCTAATTGGTCATGCCGATGGAGTCAGTCTTGAAATTACTTTTGACTTGGAAAATTAAGGCTGGCCTTGGTAGGTTGTCTACATACTGAGCTTCCTCATTCTACTCTGGTCCTCAGCGGCAGTGGCTCTGCAAAACTTAGCAAGGTTCTAACTTGAGTGAAACCATAGCTAGTATGGCACAGTACGGTCCAGGCAAGTCATGGAATGAGCTACACTCCTTTTTATAACCGACAGTTTGTGGGAAGTATTGTCCAAAGAGCAATTCAAAAAAGAGATAATTAATGGCTTGGCATATGCTACCAAATACACCGCTACGTTTCTGGGAGATGAAAAGCTGCTAGCTTTGTTTGGGCAGGTAGATACTTGTGATTCAATAAGAAAAACCTGAACTTTTTAATAATTCTAAACCTAACATTAGAATTTTGACTGAACTACTATACTGAGTAAATTCAGTTTCCAAGATGCTGTGATTTTATAGAAAAGTAAAGTGTTCAGAGAACGTCCTTTTGCGCTACATAGAATGTTTACTGTACGTGTAACCTTTTGTGAAGGTCTCAATCGAATGGTGCATACAGCTTGCCTATCATTTTGAATGTCAGGTCTCAATCGAATGGTGCCTGCAGTTGCGTACAGCTTGCCTATCATTTTGAATGTAACCTTAGATTTGCAGGTAACAGCATACCAACAACAAGAGAATTTCTGTCAATCTGTTTCCTGCCCTTGTGGGTAGGAAACTTATATAGCATGAATGCCAGCAGTGGTATTTTGTAACTTATTTCCACTGGTAGTTGATGGGAATGAATCAAAACGGACGGACAAGATAAGCGATGCTACTAATGCCTGGTGTCCTGTGTAATCTGTTTACAGCGTAAAACAAGTTCCCTGTAGTTAGTCTTGGACTAGTCAGATTGTCTTGGACAGAGTGGGTGAAAATTCTGTAGAAGCTGGAACAACTAGTCAGGTTCTCTTCCTAATCTAGTTGAATCAGCAGTTCCTGAGGCAGAGTGCTAGTTGCTGACAGTCAGCAAACTTGTTTGTGACTTAAGAGTGTAAATCAGCCATGAGGGTTGGTGCAACAACAGTCAGTGTTTAGCTTACGGAGATATCTGCGTTTGTTTGATAAGGATTCAGGAAAGTGCTAATATGTGAAAATGCTTCCTGAACAGTTCCTCTTAAATCGAATTCTTATCCAATAAAAATTCACTTACCTTGGTCCTGTGAGGAGGAATGAAGATACTGCATTTCACTTGAGCTATAGAAGAGTCGTTACATGAACTTTATCCACTAGTCTAAAGTTTATCACAGACAATTGGAAGGTTATATGTTTTACTGTGGTAATAATCTTGTGGTTTGAGGTTAACGAATATAGAATCTCATGTAGGAGGCACCTTGAGAAGTCATCTATTTAATGCTTGTGTTGTGGAGCAGGATCGCCTGAACACGATGCCTGATGAGTGTCTAACTAACCTGTTGTTGTTCACATCCTGTTTTGGAGACTCCACAACCTGGCTGTCTGTTTCAGTCTTGAGCCACTCTTTATGTTCAGAAGTTTTTTGGGTTTCTTCCTTTGCAACTTATCTGCTGGGATTTTAGCCTATCATTTCCTGGCTCATTGACAGTAAATGTGTTGTTTGTTTTTTTTCTCTATAGCAGCTTATTACATAGCTCCTTGTGCCCCAGTTTCTCTTAGGCTTAACAATCCCTTCTCGTACAGTCTTTCATTATTCACATTTTTGGTGCGTATTCTCTTCAGTGGTGTGTTTTTTGGTTTCACACCCCCCCCCCCAAATTTCTTCAGTTTAACAGACTTCTTGAAGCACGGTGTCTGAAATGAGACACAGTATTTTGAGTAATTTTAAGCTTTGCTACATCTCCAGTGTAAATGGTGGCTGATAGTGTGAGCCATTGTCAGCTTTGGGTTGAGGAGTGTACAGCACTGGTCACAGACACCACTGTTCAGAATTGCGAAGTGCAGAATGCTTTGATCCATTCCAACTTAAAGCAATAAATAAAATAGATGTAAAAGAGAAAACATAACATTTGACTTCTAGCATTCTGTACATTTGTCACTTTCCTGGAACCGTTATGTCTCTGTCTGAAGTATCTTGTCAATGAGTATCTTGTCGGTGTGTAGGCTGAAAATTATTTTTAAAACAAGTTTTAAAACCTCCTTTTTTAGAAACTTGGAATATTTAAAAAATGTATATTCTCAAATGTGGTCCTCTAACTTTTCCAAAGTTAGTAAATGTTAACTGGTTTTGATTTTTCCCTTATGAAGAGCTTATTTTAAATTTGTACTATGTCTGGACTAGCATTTGATGATAAATACATTTGTAATACTGTTTTATTATTTCATCATCGAAAAAGAGCAACTGTTAAATGCCGTGTGTGGTATCTAACCAATACTTTCAAGTAGCTCATTTTCGAAATCATTTTCATCTTTTGCAATGCAATGCATTCACACTTGAATTTTATTATTTATCCTAGAAAGTTATTGGAGTGTTCAAACCAAAATCTGAAGAGCCTTATGGACATCTCAATCCAAAATGGACCAAATACTTTCACAAAGTTTGTTGTCCTTGCTGCTTTGGCAGAGGCTGCCTCGTTCCAAATCAGGGATACCTCTCTGAAGCTGGTGCCTATCTAGTGGATGACAAGCTGGGGTTGGGAGTGGTACCTAAAACTAAGGTAAAAGTTAAAACACATAAATTATTGAATGCAAAACGAATGTAGTGAGAGATTCGGCAGTGTCTGGACTGTAGTTAGAGAGATGTGTTTGTATGTCATGCATCATCCCTACGTCATTGATAAGCTATTGCTAGTCCAAAGGCACAGTGGTTTGGTGTAGAAGTAGTGACTGTGATTTTTGATTTAAAGGGTAAGTTTGTGATCTGAACTGAATCTCTTCTTTGAAACCACTTCAGTTTCTAGTATTTTCTGACACCTTTGTGCCTCGTGTTTAGGTGAGAGGTATGAGAATTGCAAAAAGCAGTGTTTAACGATTCCCATTTATAAGTCTTGCCACATTTTTGTTTGAGATGGGTAAAATGGCAAATATTCAGCTTTTCATATAAAATTTGTCCGTTGGAAATGCCTGATGTTTTCTTTTTGCTGTTTTTTGACAACTAAGCATAAAATTTACTGTAAATTTAGAATTGAAATTATAAGGAATTCTGAACTGTGTTTTTAACTTTCATATTTTAAGGTTGTCTGGCTTGTCAGTGAGACGTTTAATTACAGTGCAATAGATCGTGCAAAGTCAAGAGGAAAAAAATATGCGTTAGAGAAAGTGCCAAAAGTTGCTAAAAAATTTAATCGAATAGGACTACCTCCTAAGGTAAGATGAAAGATACGCCATTTGTGGATTTCCCTATTGTTACACAAACATTTGAATTAAGAAAACCCCCAAACATTGTATGTAACTTTAACAGCAGAAGAAAAACCTTGTTGCTTGTTGGAAGCTATCTCTGAGTGACTGAAGTTTGATAAATACGTCTGTTTCTGTACAAAATCTGTCCACTGTTACATTATTCCTTCCTTTGAACTACGTTAATAAACTTCTTGTCTCGGTCTGCAGTCTAGCTTTCTGCTGGGGAAGTAACATGTTAACATGTTGTACGTTTCTCACTGTTTTTCTTTTTCTTGGCTGTTTAGTACGTCTCGCTTCAGTGTCATGTTTTTATATTATCTGTTTCTCCCTTGCATTTTATATAGTTCTTTGGATTTTTTTCTAAATCTTTTTATTTTTCTTTTTCCCCCTTACGCTATTTGTTTTACATCCTAACTTTACATCTTGTGTGGAGTACTCCACTGAATAAAGCCTCAAATCATTCTTACCTAATGAGTTTTATTGTATCCCCAAAAGAACACCATGGTATTCTGCTCCTAAACTTTTAAAACAAAGGTTATGTACAGCTTGGGTACTGATCACTGATCTTGTGTCAGATCTCAGCGATTTTGATCCATGTGACATACATTACACAAGCTTGTATCAGCGTGGTTATTCCACATGCTGTTTCTCCATGTCTCTGCATGTGTGCATCTATCTGCATTTTACTTCTCAAATATAAGTCCTCTTTTGAATTCTGAGCACTTTTCCTGTTGCCCACACATGTGGAGCCTATACCATCTGTAATTTTCTTCCTTGGACTCTTTTGGAAAATGTATTTCAGCCATTTTCATGCAAAAAGTGTTTTGTCTTGAAAAAATGGTTAATGCTGCTGTTCATCAATGACGTGTACAAGCTTTTCAGAGAGGAAGATTTTTGAGTTTGGTGTAATTTTTGGTGAGTTTCTTATAAGCCAAGTCTTTCTGATGAAAAAGAGAATAGATGTTATTTCTTTCTTTGTTTCAAATATTGCTTGTAATACTGAGTGTTCACTTATGTTGAGCTGTCTGGCTACATTTTATTCCTGGTAATTCAGTGAGTGCTTCAAAAGTAAAAAATGAGGAAAACAAAACAAAAAAACAAAACACACATCAAAAAACCCAGAAAAACCCCTTGTGATTCGAGTCTTATGTTTTTAGAATTTAGGAATGAAAGAGAAACCACTCAGTAATGTATTTTTTTTAAATGTCATACTTCCTGTGTTCTGAACTTTGGAAGTATACAATCAGGTGTTTTGTTGTGGTGTTTTTTTTTTATGTTAAGATTGGTTCTGTGACCTACCAAAGTGCGTTTTCCAAATGCAGTTTTTTAATTTTTCAGGTTGGCTCCCTCCAGCTGTTTGTTGAAGGATATAAGGAAGCTGACTACTGGCTCAGGAAGTTTGAAACTGATCCTTTACCTGAGAACACAAGAAAAGAATTTCAGTCACAGTTTGAAAGATTGGTTATCTTGGATTATGTCATCAGAAATACAGGTATTTGTTAGTGTCTCTCGGTATCTGTCTGGTTTTGTGGAGCAGCAGTGGTAAGCAGTGCTCACTGAAAGCTGCTGATGGAGACTTTTAATGCATTTCAGATGCCTTTCTCACAATTGAACGCCAGAATATGTTGCCTTCTAAATTTTAAAAAATTTACTTTGGATTCAAACATTAACTATTGAGAGATGACAAAATCCAAACCACCCTTTTTTGGCTGTTACTTGATATTTTTATGCAATTCGAGAACAAATACTTCTATTATGCTTTGATTCTGTCAGTAGGCTTTTAACAATCTGTCTCCCCTCATTAGGATAAGGAGTGGTGAGGTTTCAGGAACCATAAGAAAAGACACAACTACCATTCCTTTTATGCTGAGCTGGAGGTGACAACAGCACAGTTTGGCATCAGTGCAGAATAGTTCGTGTTCATTGTTACTAGGCACTGAAGTACAACTGTGATGTCTGTCTCTTAGTTCTCCTGCATTCTTGTTTCTTTCACTCAGAAGCTGAGATTCTTCTGTTGACTATGCAGGTGATTTATTTCCTCAGGAATGCAAAGGCAGTTTTATATTTACAATAATTCCTTTGGTGCTTTGTCTGAGGTGGGCATCTTTACTCTTCTACAGACATACCAGCTCTAGTTTATTTTTCTTCTCTTAAATTCACTTATTAGAAAGGAATCCAGCTGAACGTAAGTTACTCTAACCTGTGCCTTTTTAGAAGCAGACTAGAAGAGTAAAGTTTTGTTAGAACACAATACTTCCTAATTGCTGCTGTGGTCTGTCAGCTTTATCAAATAGATCCTGTTGTTTCCAGACAATTGCTGTGTCCTGTGACATTCTTAAAATGGTATGGAAAATACTCAAAATGCAAAAAGTGCATTACGTGGGTAATTTTACTTTCATCTAATATATCTAATCATGAGAGAACATGAAAACCTGGATGCTTAACTAAACTTAAGGACGCACCTAAAAATGACAGAAGGATCTACAAATCCATGCAGTTATCCTCTGTACGAAAGACCTAGTCAAAGCCTCCAATGTCTCAGTTTGTCTGAACGTTGCAGACATTTTCAGCTTCTGAAAGGCTCTTTAGTCTTCTCCTGTCTATCCTCGAAGAATGTTTTCTCCGTGTAGTCAAACATTAAACTGTATATAACTTTGGAAGGCCTCTCCTTTTTCCCATCAGCATTAAAACAAGCTTAAAAATTAAGTCATTGTGGCTGCTGATGCTGCCAGTCTTTTCCCCAGGAAAAGGGCATACTACAGCCAGTCTTTATGCATGAAATGCTTGAAAATAGTTTCTTTTAGCTTTCTCAGTACTTAGCTATATATTCAGCCAGCTGGGGAAACTAAAGCAGTAATACATACCTAAGAACACCTGGTAAACGTTTGGTCTTTCCAGTGAATTAGTTGCCTCAAACATTTCAGTAAAGCTAAAACATGTGTATTATGACAGGCAAAATGGTTCAAAAATGTTTTTTGAACTCCCATGGTAAATTCTCAATTTACAATATTAGTCATTGTGTATTGCTTTAGATGATGATTTCCTTTATAAATGATGTGTTGTGACATGCATTTTCCTGTTTAAAGACAGAGGTAATGATAACTGGTTAGTCAGGTACGAAAAACAAGATGATGGACTTGATCTGTCAGATAAGGTAAGAAAGTCATACGCCAAAATTTATGTTCTTCAAGTTGTTTAGTTTTATAACTTGGTCTTGCAGGGGATTAAGTGCATGGCTTCAATCCTGGTGCGTGGTTTCAAGTAATATGATAACTGCAAATTGTTCTAGATGAAATGAATGGAAAAGCTATTTGGATTAGACTAGTCTGGATACAGTGTCCTAGAAGTTATTGTTCTGTATTTTTTCTTTACTAGCTTGGGCTATAATAATAATACAACTGCCCACTGTTGCTCAAGCACATTTCTTCAGCAGTTTATATGCTCTGCTTATCTTGTGTTCGGGGGAAGGGCTCCTTTTTAGTGGTGGTAGACTTATATTCTAGAGGATACTCATTTATGTTGTTTATACTCAGCTATATTGTTTTAGTTGACTTTAAGTAGTAAAGCTAGAAAGTGTATTATTTAGTGTTTTTAATGTATTTTACTGTTTTTGTAAGCACATAGGTATCACTTATTTTTGAAATATTCCTTCTATAGGATAGCCAGTGGACTATAACTAAGGAATCTACTATTAAAATTGCTGCAATTGACAATGGTTTAGCATTTCCATTTAAGCATCCTGATGAGTGGAGGGCATGTGAGTATTGCATTCTTCAGTCATCTTCCTTTTGTGACAGTAACTTCCAAATACATTTGGTGTGGGGCATTTTTTGGTTGTTGTAGTAAGAAACTGAGAAATCATCACTGTAGTTAAATATTGAATTTTTGAATAATGTACTTTTCAGAAAGTTAGCAGCAAATGCCATTTTTGCAGTGGCATATGTGATTTAGTCCTTGTTCTCTTTTTTTTTCTTTTTTTACCCATATACCTTTGAACATTGTTAATATATGGATATTCATAAACATGCTACTGTATGTAAACTGACTGGTGGTGGAATTAGAAAAGTTCAGCAACACGTTTTTCATGTGTGTTTTCTTCAAAACCATGGTGGAAAATTACTTGAATGCAAGGATAGGCATGTTATGTCTCCAGTGGCCAAATTTCTATTGCAAAACAAAGGGTTCTGTTGTAGGTGAACAAGTAGACAAGTTACATGTTGTTTTTACTTGTTCTCAGCTTTAGCTTACTTTGCAGAAGTTAATCGTTAATTAGTATTTTGAGCAGACTGAAAATGGGTATTACTGTTAAAGCTAGATTGCTTCTGACCACACCTCTGACTACTTATAGTTTAGAGGGAAGTGCACAACAGGGTTTACGATTATTTCTGTGGACTATTAGCCAGTCAGGTAATTATGGTAGTTAAGTGTGGGCTAGTTCTGCTGTCAAAAGGCTAGTTAATTACCCCACCCAGAGCTCTGTATAGTCTCTGTATTTACTGTCCTACCTATCTCTTAGCTACAGTCACTTCTGCAGCTGCTCTGGAGACATGGCAGTTGTTGACTGTTTTATACAATCTTTTACTTCAGCATCAGAAGTAATAGACTGGGATTATCCTTTAGAATTCTTTTGCAGTTAGACAAGTGTGTGATAATTCTGTAAACTTGTAGCATAATGTTGCTTAAAATCACAGGCTGTTGAGGGGTAGAGCGTATTTTCTTAATGACTAGAGCTGGTTGGTTGTCAAGGGTAACTTCCTCAAAGCTAGAGAACAGCCTATCCAAAAGGCAGGAAGTTGGTCCAGCATGGATGAACAGGGAACACCTGACTGAATTAGGACACTAAAATTAAGTACATTAAAAAAATGAATGTAGAGGCTCCCCTGGAAGAATAGAGACCTTGTTCAAAAGTGCAGAGTCAAAGCTCAGCTGGAGGAAAGCTAGCAGGGAACATGAGGGGCAAGGAGGAAGGCTTAAGTAAAGTGGAAGTGAGAGTGGGACTGAAGAAAAGTGCTGTGAGGGCCTAAAGACAAAAGGCCTAAGAGAGAACAAGTTACTCAGTGCTGACTCTGCCTTAGTTTTCACTTAGAAGATTCACTCTTAGGTCTCAGAGCTCATAAGCAGAGCCTCTGGGAATGAATCATTACCCAAAGCAGAAGAAAGGAGGCACTTAAGCAAAATGGACCTACAGAAGTTTATCGGAGTAGATGAGATGCGTAGGAGCTGGCCAGTGGTATTGTGAGGCTGTTTGCTCATCACTCGTGAAAGACTGTAATAATGTGGGAGGTTGATGGCTAGAAAAAGGTAAGTACGTCCGTCTTTACGAAGGGCAAGATGCAGGGAACAGGGAATGATGCGGTAGCCAGCCTAACCTCAGTCCCCATGTGTGCGCTGGCAGCCCAGAAAGCCAACCGTATCCTGGGCTGTATCAGGAGAAGTGTGGCCAGCAGGTCGAGGGAGGGGATTCTGCCCCTCTACTCTGCTCTGGTGAGACCCCACCTGGAGTGCTGCGTCCAGCTGTGGAACCCTCAACATCAGAAGGATATTGACCACTTGGAGTGAGTCCAGGGGAGGCCACGAAGATGCTCAGAGGGCTGGAGCACCTCTCCTATGATGAAAGGCTGCGAGAACTGGGCTTGTTCAGCCTGAAGAAGAGGAGGCTTCGAGGAGACCTTATTGCAGCTTTCCAGTATCTGAAGGGGGCCTACAAGGGTGCTGGGAGAGGACTTTTTCCAAGAGCCTGTAGTGATAGGACAAGGGGTAATGGGTACAAATTGAAAACAGGGAGGTTTAGATTAGATATCAGGAAGAAATTCTTCACAGAGAGGGTGGTGAGGCAATGGAACAGGTTGCCCAGAGAAGCTGTGGATGCCCCATCCCTGGAAGTGTTCAAGGTCAGGCTGGATGAGGCTTTGAGCAACGTGGTCTAGTGGAAGGTGTCCCTGCCCATGGCAGGGGGGTTAGAACTAGATGGTCTTTAAGGTCCCTTCCAACTCTAACCATTCTATGATTCTATGACTCTGGAATGAATCCTCCTAGAAGCTGTGTTCAAGCACGTGAAGAACAACAGGGTAGTCGGGAAGGACTAACTGTGCCTGACTGGCTGAGTGAGTGGGGGGAGGGCAGTGAATGCTGATTTTCCTTGACACTTGGCAAGGCCTTCTGCGTGGTCTCTCAGTATTTTTGTGGGCAAATGTGAGGTGAGAACTGGACAAGCAGACAGTGAAGGGGTTGAAAACTGGCTGGACCATCTGACTCAGAGGGCTGTGAGCAGTGTTAGGAAGTTCAGTAGGTGGCCTGCTACTACTGGTGAGTCGAAGTTCCGGGAACTGATACTCTTTGGTGTCTTAACACCGGCTAATGTTAATTACTCTTACAATATTTCTTGAAAAAGCTGTTAAATATCAATTATTTGAAAAGTTAAGAATGTTTTTATCAGCATGCTTAGAAAAAGGCATTTCAGCAAACTGAAAATTGTATTAAAAAGAGTAGCCACTTTTTTGTTCATTGTTCTGTATGAGTTGAACATCTGAAAGATTTCTATTTGATTGCAGCCATTATTTTACTTGAGCAGAAACTGCATTACTAACCTAGGAGAAGGCTCTGCTGTTGCTTACAGTAAAATACCTTATTTTACTTATTACTTCAACCAAATATGTATTACTTCGCGTATATTTTTACTGTTTGGAAAAAATGCTAAGCAGATGTAAAGCTGTTCTGTAGCTGTAGCCGAATGGGGTAACAGTGTTGTGAGAAGTGGTGTGTTGCTGAGAACTTCCAGTAGGCAGCGGAGTGCTGTATCAGCGGTAAGCATTTGAGAATTTTATTTCTGCCTGTTGTTAACTAGCAAATGTACTGTTTTTCTGCATTAGATCCCTTTCACTGGGCTTGGTTGTCTCAAGCAAAAGTTCCTTTCTCTCAGGAGACGAGAGACTTAGTTCTTCCTCGCATTTCTGATATGAACTTCGTACAGGATCTCTGTGAAGATCTTTATGAACTATTTAAGGTGAATCAAGGGCTGCTTTGAGTTGAGCATTACTAAAATAGCTGATACCTGTAATGGAACAGTTAGATGGTTTTTCTTTGTATGAATTTAAATTCCGTATGTCATGATACTGTGCTATTTTAGCTTTAACGCTGGCATGGTAGAAAGGGTTTATATAATTAAGAGGAAACTGTCACAAATGTGGCTAACAGACAGCTCATCTGAAAACATAATTACCTTTTATATATCTGTTTCACAGTGTTAAAGCTAGTTAACTTCCGCAGCACAGATATGTAAAAACTCCATTTAACTTACCTGTGTGGTACGTATACACGTGATAAACTGAGGCAACCTGAGGCAATTGTGTATTTAATGTAACTCAAAATACCCGCATACCTTCCATATACTTAATTTTACATACATGTATTGTGTGAGGTTGATGCTGAAATTTTGATCGTGTTTAAAGTAGGTCAAACCTATTTTAAAGGTACTGAAACTATGCTAAAATACTGACATGTGAAGGAGTGTCCTTCTCTGAAACATTCCGTGAACCATTGTGTCAGATGTTCAAGTGAAATAATCCAAATGATCAGGATGGCAAGAAATGGAAACTTTAAACTTTTGGTGAAAATGCAGCTGTAACGTCGAAACTTCATCCTGAAACACCTTTGCAGTGTTTGTCTTTGACTCAGTTGTGTCACAGTGACCCTGAGTTGTCTGCGAAACAGACAACTGTGAACCCAGTGAAAGCTGAAGTACTTAATAAATGTGGATGAGGAAATACTCCACTGCCAGAGTAAAGGTGAGAGACAGTGGTGTAGTGTGATGTGATGGCATTAAGCCTGTCTCCCAGTGCCCTACAGTGCTATGCACTGATTTATTTTACTGTTATGAAGTGGAACATCCTTCATCTTCCCATATGTAAACTTGCTGTAGTAAATAGACCTTTTTTGTGGGCCATACTGTGACTCTCCGAAGCTTCCAAAAATTATTACAATGTTGGTAAATATGACTGTGTATTATGAAATTGATGAATTTGTGTGCTAAATATATAGGTAAAAATAAATGCTTCATTTCCTATAGTAACTGTTTGTTTTCTTTAATAAAGACTGATAAAGGATTTGACAAGGCTACCTTTGAAAACCAAATGTCCGTTATGAGGGGGCAGGTAAGACTACTTTTTTACATTTTTATTTGTGTTTAATCTGTCATCACCTCTCGGCTGTTTTTTTAGCACTACAAAAACTGACTTCTGTTGAATTGAAAGACAGTTGAAAGTATTTTCATCTGAGAAGGCTAAATTTCTTTCTAGAGTTTGTTCTTACTTGCATATAGATGAGAGCTGAAAGTGTATACTGTTGTTTGTGGGGTTTTTTTTTAGATTTTCTTAAATGTAATTGGCTTTTGTTGGCTTTTGTGGAGGATAGGGGAGGACTTAATACCTATATGTTCTTAGAAGGTATTTTAAAAATGAAACACTGGAGAAGAGTCAAACTTGAAAAGAAAATTTTGTGGGTAATTTTGTTATTTTAATAAGTGTGACTTTATTTTGAAGAGTTAACTTGATGATGGAAACACCTCTCACAAGTAAACAATATGAGGTAGTAAAATTTCTGTATCCTGGCAAAAGTCAGAACCATACTGGGAACCAATCCAGCCATTATCAGATTAGAAATTTGATAAGTATTGCATATTTTAACACTAAAGAGAGGAAAAGGGTTTCTCCATCTTCTTGCTCGTTTAAAATTTAAGACTGATGTGATATGATAGAGAACAAATTTAGTTCGTTGTAGGCATAAAGCAGTGATATTTGAAGATGTACGGGCATTGGGCTAGATAAATTAATAGTCCTGTTTGCCCTGAATTTATTGAAATGCCTGACTTCTGTGTTCATAAATGCAACATGGATAGCTTAAAGCCAGACACTCGCAGTTCCTGGAGTGGCTTAATCTGGCCTTTCTCTGTACAGTTTCCAGTATCGAGAAGTACCTTGCACAAGACTGCAGCTCTGCCTAGTCAAACATAATCCCAGCTATACATTAGTTGTGTATAAAAGTCAGCAAACCTTGCTTATTAAATTGAATTATAGGGATTATATCTGAAGTAACTTTTTTGAGAAGTTTGTGCAGTCACTGGAAGGCCACTTTTGAAGTACTTATTGATCTTAAACTGTGTTAAGTAGCTTTTTTGTGATGAGACAATTGGCTACAGGGAATCTGTTACTTAACGAAGCTTAAGGAAAAAAACTGATCCATGTAATTGAGCGAGATCTAGCTAAGATTGTCTAGATTAATTTCCCACCATAAAGACTTTACCTGGACCCTTTATTCACACCCTTTCCCTGAGGGGGATTTCATCAGAGACTTGGGTTTCTTCTTGTTTGGATGTCTTGTTTTTGTTGAAAATCGTGTCTCTCTAGATACCAGAATAGATACAAGAATGTGTATCTGTGGGAGATATCAGGTTTTCAGGAATGGATTTAGGAAAGACATGCAAATAATGAGTTATTCTTGGATGTGATTGGTAATATATCAGCAAATGATGCTTTTAGCACCAATTTTAGATTTGATTTTTGATGTAAAACCCAAATGTGTTACAAGGGCCTTATGGAAGAGATGAGTATCTAGATCCACACTGGAATGGTTTCACTTGGTTATGGTGAATTTGCAGGATAGCCAAAACATCTTTAAATATATCCTTAAACATAAAAAACTTTTTAGAATTGGAAAATGAAGAATCTAGATATTAAGGGTAATTCAAGTGTGTCATCAGAACTAAATTGAATACTTGCCTCGGTTTTTAGCAGGATAACGTTGAACATGGAGCAAATTATCAGGACAGTTAATGAGCACTGAAGTTTGGGAAGGAAGATAATACTCCTGGGAGCCGAGGGCTGAATTTGGATCATAGCACTGTGTTTGGCGTGGGTTAATATGGCTTCATATGTTCTGATGCAAAGATAACTTGTAGCTAAATTCCTGGTAGTTCCTATATGAACTACATGTTGATTGCTTTCTTGTAGGTTTTTCATTAAAGGTGCAATGCACTTAAGAGATGTGCTAGATTTAGCATGCTCTTAGATTGTGACTAACATTTTCCAAAAATTTGGAGAGGATTGCATGAAATATTCAAGAAGAAGATAGAAGAGTAGTCAGATTGCAGTAAGATGTCCTAATGTTTCTGGACTAATGACATACTTCTACTTGCAATAGCGTATCTTACAAAAACTGTTTGATAGCAGAGTCTTTTACAGGAATTGCTTTAAGAGTAGCATCTAAACGTAGAAGCCTCTTAGCCACAGTGTTATTTGTGTGCCCTCACCTTACCTACTTTTACTGTTTTAGATACTAAACCTCACTCAGGCGTTGAAGGATGAAAAGAGTCCCATTCAGCTTGTTCAGATGCCACGTGTGATTGTGGAGCGAAGTAGCACTGGAAGTCAGGGCCGAATTGTTCACCTGGGTAATGCGTTCACACAGACCTTTCATAGCCGGAAGCCTTTCTTTTCCTCCTGGTAGCCAGAAAAGGAGTTTTTCTTAACTGTAGAAAGCTACTTCTGTGTAAAGGCTCTGCAATAACGTACTTCTGCTGTATGCCAAGAGCTCTGACTGCCGGCACCTCAGAACTTAATTTCTAAAGACTTAAGAAATGTATTTTGAATGTAATAAAAGTTTACAATTTTTGTCTCAAAATTGTGAATTCTTATGTCAGGGAATGAAAAGAACTTGTCCATACTGTATTTTTATAGACTAAATTAATGTATTCTGCATAATATTCTGAATAAGGGAAGATGCAGTCTGCATATGCTGAGAAACTACTTTTGAATCCAACAGGAATTCTTTTTGTTTAATATAAATGTGAGGACCTGTACACTACCAATTTCTTTTTATATTTTCATTTAAAAAAAAAAAAGGTGCAGAATGTTATCTTTGATTGTGCAAATGCTTTTCCTTGGAATTTCTTCCTGATATTTTAAGCTGTTTATAGATTTTTTTTCATAGGCTAGTTACTTGAAAAGTCATGCACTAAAAAACCAACCAAATAAATAAATAAAAGAGAACACCCCCTTGACGAACAAGTGAAAGAAAGGGAGAAAGGAACAAATGTTCCAAGTAGGTTTTTTGCACATGGGGACCAGAAATAGTTAAATAGTTGAGTTACAGCAAAATTCAACCCAAGCAAGTACACGCAGTTCCTACTGTGACAAAATAAACTGTATGTTTCAGAGGTTGAAATGTCACTTGTAGTTTTTAGAACTTGTGTCTTTAAGCACATGTATGGAAAATTGTGGTATTGCTTTGTGTATCCATGGCCGTGAAAGAATTGCACCACGTTGTCACAGGTTTGGTTTGCCATATGCTTACAAACGTGTTGATCCTTAGTCACCAAAGCGGTTCTGCGCTATTAATGATGGAAGTGCTGATGTGTTTGTTACAGAGCCAGCCTGCCTTCTAAATTTCTATCTAAACACACTTATTTTTTTGACTGGGGTGGGGGAGGGAGAAGACTGTAGCACATAGAGCAGAGAGGCTTATTATCGTGCCCTTAGCAATGCCATGCTCATCTGCCAGTTGCCACCGGTATTTATTTTTAAGTTATGTGGTTTGACTCAGTGGTCATGTTCCTAGGTCCGTGGCTTATGCAACATGATCAATATTTTTTCTTTCTGGGCTGTTAAGACTGGGCATGGGAGAAAAATTGCTGCTTTTATGAAACCTTGAGTATTTCAGACACTGCCTATTTTGTAATTCTAAGCAATACTGTGGAACTCAGAAATTAAAATGCTTGTATTTTATATAATTTTGAGTGGGTGTAAATATTAATGTAGCATGTCAGCACTTCACCTGATTAACTGGAACGCTTAAGCCTTAAGTGTAAAATCACTGTACAGCGGAGCTCAAAATAAGATTGAAACCACCACCTTTATAAACTTCCCATGATTGTTTATATCCAAACGGTTTATTAAAAAAAAATATCTGTTTTTGTTCTACCCTGCCTACTGGAGAAAATAAACGTCGTAGCCTACAACGCACGGTTTTGGGCTCAGCTGTCTCATTTGTCGTGCGGGAAGTAGTCCCGGGCGCTGGTTACCGCGGGAGCGTTCCCGCCGCGTCGCTGGGGGGCGCCGGC